ACCAGGCCTTTCCTAGCTTTACTACCCCTGATATGGGCATGGTCACGTTAGGCCTGCAAGCAGTACACAGGCTGTCAACTGTCAACTGTCTCTCAACAGTGACCAAAACCTGATGGGCACCGTTCCCTGTTCAGTTGGGCACCTGCCCTCTTGGCAGCTAGGCACTCTTTACTTTCGGGGGTCATCCCGCACAGTTCTCTTTCAGGATAACCAATATACATTCAAACCTGCAAGAGAATTAAAGGTTAATATAACATATCAATACAATGAAACATAATATTGGCATTATGGCCGCTTCAGGCAGCCAAATCTTCCGCTATTAAACATGTGATACTAAAGTCTATTCCTGATTTTTCTATAAATTGTCCCTGTCTCTTTGGAGCCATGTCCATGAAGATGCAGGCATCATCTAACTCTATTGTGGGGGCTCCTGGCGACAGGAGTGATCGCGAGTTACGTCACCAGCATCAGGCAGGTGGAGCACGCCGTAGCTTGAGCTTCAGTGGGTTGCGTTGATCTCTTTCGACGTTCCATTTGGTGATGAAGTCTTTTTGGACCGTGGATGGGTCCGCTGACCGGACGTGAGTGTGATGGATCCAGGTCGCGACGCCGTCTACCTTGAGAGCAGTGGGGGTCGTTAGCACCACAGTGTAGGGACCCTTCCAACGTGGCTCAAGAGTTTCTTGATGATGCCTTTTGACGTAGACCCAATCTCCTGGTCTGTGTCGATGAGGAGTTGGAATTGGGCTGGTCTCATAGATGGCGCGAAGGCGTGGCCAAATGTCCTCGTGTGCCCTCTGGAGCCCTCTTAAGGAAAGAGATAGTTCTTGATTTTCAAATTCAGCGAGAAAGTCAGCTTTAAGGTTAGGAATGATAGGGGGTGGCCTGCCAAACATGATTTCATAGGGAGTAAAACCCAGGGTGTAAGGGGAGTTCCTTACCCGGTAAAGGGCATACGGTAGGAGAGCCACCCAGTCCCCGCCAGTCTCCATGGTTAATTTGGTAAGGGTCTCTTTTAAAGTTCTATTCATTCTTTCTACCTGACCTGAACTCTGGGGTCTATAAGCACAATGCAGTTTCCAATTTGCCCCAATAGCCCTGGTTACTACCTGTGTTACCTGTGAAATAAAGGCTGGCCCGTTGTCGGATCCTATCATAGCAGGAAAACCATACCTGGGTAAGATGTCTTCCAGCAGCTTCTTGGCCACCGTCTGAGCTGTTTCACGCTTGGTTGGGTATGCTTCTACCCAGCCAGAGAAGGTATCTATAAATACTAAAAGATATTTATAACCATACTTCCCTGGTTTAATTTCAGTGAAGTCGACCTCCCATTGTGCTCCAGGTTTGGTGCCTCTGAGCCTGGTTCCTTCTTTATTTGATCCAACCCTTGCGTTTGTGAGTTGACAGGTCTTGCAGGCTGACACAACCTGGTCTATCTTGGTATTCTGCTGGTGAATTTTGATCCTAGCATGTTGGATTAAGTCCTTCATTTTCCGGGCTCCCAGGTGAGTGGATTGGTGCATATGTTTTAATATCGTGTCCCCGAGCCAGTCCGGCAGTATAAGTTCTCCTTCTGGTGTATGCCACCATCCCTTTATTTCCTGGGCTTTAGGGAGCTTTTTGATACGTTGCAACTCCTCCTGGGAGTACTTGGGCTGGTCTGGTAGGACTGGGTCCCCTGGGTCTGGTAGTTGTAAGGCCATGGTAGGGACCGAGGTAAGGGCTACTGCCTTTGCAGCCTCGTCAGCCTTTTGGTTGCCTTTAGCTACCAGGTTATTGGCTTTTTGGTGTCCCTGGCAGTGGATTATGGCTAACTTGGCAGGAAGCCATAAGGCTGAGAGCAGGTCGAGGATTTCCTGCTTATTTTTTATTGTCCGTCCCTCTGCTGTCAACAGCCCTCTCTCCTGGTAGATTGCCCCGTGAACATGAGCTGTAGCAAATGCATAACGGCTGTCTGTGTAAACGTTAAGCCGCTTTCCAGCCCCCAGTGTCAGTGCCTTGGTGAGTGCAATGAGTTCTGCTCGCTGAGCTGATGTCCCAGGGGGCAGAGCCTCCGCCCACACAGTGTTCGTGTTGGCAACCACCGCTGCACCTGCGTACCTGCACCCGTTCCGCACGAAGCTGCTTCCATCCGTGAACCAGGTGGCCTCTGCATCCGGGAGGGGCCGATCGGTTAAGTCCTTCCGAAGTCCATGTACCTGCTCCAGGATTCCCGCACAGTCATGTAGTGGGGCATCTAGGTCAGGGTCAGGTAGCAGGGTAGCAGGGTTGAGGGCCGCACTGGGAAGGAACCGCACTCTAGGGGGGTTGAGCAGCAAGCTTTGATAGTGGGTCATGCGAGCATTGCTCATCCATCTATCAGGAGGCTGTTTTAGGATCCCTTCAATGGCATGCGGGGTTGTGATCCAGATCTCCTGCCCCAGGGTCAGTTTGTCAGCATCCTTGACTAAGAGCGCGGTTGCTGCAATGATTCTTAGGCACGGTGGCCAGCCAGCGGCTACAGGATCCAGCTTTTTAGACAAATATGCCACTGGGCGACTCCAGGGGCCTAAAGCCTGGGTTAAAACCCCTTTTGCCACTCCTTTGCGCTCATCTACAAAGAGGCGAAAGGGTTTTGTAATGTCTGGTAGGCCCAGGGCTGGAGTAGCCAAAAGAGCTTTCTTTATCTGATTAAAGGCCATTTCTTCTGTCTCAGTCCATTTAAAGGCCTTCCCCTCCTTGGTGGCTTCATATAGGGGCCTGGCGATCTCAGCAAAACTTGGTATCCAGAGGCGGCAATAGCCAGCCGATCCTAGGAACTCCCTCACCTCCCTCCGGGAGGTGGGAGCAGGGATTTTCAAGACTGTCTCTTTTCTAGCATCTGACAACCGCCGCTGTCCGCCCTCCAGTATGTACCCCAGGTAACTCACCCTCTTTTGGCATATCTGAGCCTTCTTCGCAGAGGCCCGGTACCCTAAGGTCCCTAGGGTGGCCAGCAGATCTTTGGTCCCTTGTTCACAATCTTTGGCGGTATCGGCAGCAATCAGGATGTCATCTACGTACTCTTTCTTGGCCATCAGCAAGCTGGCGAAGGCGGCGGGTTCGCTCCTCAGGGGACTCCGTGGTGGTGGCTAGCAGAATCTTGGCCAGGTTTCGGGTCTGCTTGTCACTGGCAGCCACCATGGCGCGGGCTCGTCTATCCTCAGGGGACTCTCGGTTATTGAACACCTTCTCTGCCACTGCCAGTAAATCCTGTAAACTTTTTTCTCCTAATCTATCTATTCTCTGCAGTTTTTTTCTAATGTCCATGGCTGACTGGTTTATAAAACTCATGATTACAGCTGCCTTATTCTCAGGGGCTTCTGGATCCATGGGGGTGTAGGTGCGATATGCCTCCATGATCCGTTCTAGAAAGGCAGCTGGAGACTCATCTCTTCCCTGCTGTACGTTCCCTACCTTGGTCAAATTGGTGGGCTTCCTAGCAGCCCTACGGAGACCCCCCATTAGAGTCTGACGGTAGACCGAGAGCCTCTCCTTACCTTCTGCCGTGTTGAAATCCCATTCAGGCCTAGTTAAAGGGAAAGAGGCATCTATCTGGGCCTGGTTTGTGGTTGGATTTCCGTCCACACCAGGAACCATCTTCCGGGCCTCATTGAGGATCCTTTCTCTCTCTTCCGTTGTGAACAGAACCTGTAAAAGCTGCTGACAGTCGTCCCATGTGGGCTGATGGGTGAAAAGAACAGAATCTAGCAAGTCAATAAGTCTCCCCGGCTTTTCAGAGAACTTAGGGTTCTGTGCCTTCCAGTTATACAAATCGCTAGTTGAGAAAGGCCAATAGATATGGGGCTGGTTGCCATTCGCATCCGGGGGTCCAGCGGCCCGTAAGGGCAAGGTCTTAATAGTGGAGTCGGGGGCTGCGACAGACAGTTCCCGCTGAGCTCTTTGCCGGGTGAGAGGCGGGCCTCCTACCGGAACCGGAACTGAGGCCACTCCCAGAACCCCGCCCCCAGGCACTCCCGGAACTGCGTCCCCAGGCACTCCCGGAACTCCGCCCCCAGGCACTCCCGGAACTGCGTCCCCAGGCACTCCCGGAACTCCGCCCCCAGGCACTCCCGGAACTCCGCTCAATCTCTCCGGCATCCTGTGGAAATGATACGCCACAGGGCAGGATCAAATCTCTCCGGCATCCTGTGGAAATGATATGGGGGAGGAAAAATTGACGGCAGGGTGGTTCTTTTCTCCTTCCTCTTCTCCGCTTCCTGCAAGGCAAAAATGGGTTCTGGCTCCGGAGGGTGTGGAGGTAGGAAGGGCCTAAGCCAAGATGGTGGATCTTCCACGAGGTCCTGCCAAGTAACAATGTAAGAGAGTTGACCAGGATGTCCCTCTTTGGGCTGGGAGACGATATCCCTAACCCGGCGGATGGTGGGGAGATCGAAAGTCCCCTCCGGCGGCCACCCGACATTAAAAGTCGGCCACTCCCTGGAACAAAAGGCCCGCCACCGGTCCTTCCGAACCTCCGCACTGAGGTTGCTGGCTCTTTCCTCTACCTCTTTAAAATGACAGACCATAATGCTTAAAGGAGTAGTTTGAGTCTGTCCCATAATGTCTATCCAGTAAATCCACAAAATAAAACCAAAAAAACACAAACACAGACAACTAAGGGGCCCTAAAATACAGTATTCCAACTCCATGGACGCGAAACCAAAATAATTTTCCAACTCCATGATGGTAAAAACCGAAAACGAAGCAAGGCTACTTCTACAGCCAGCGGAAGCTACCCGCCTACAGATTTCCCGACCTCGGAAGCAAAGCTAGTTCCACAGATACAGATGGAGGATCGAGGCGTCCCCCGACTCCTCCCGCCCTTTGTCCTCGTGCGTCCACGATCAATGTGGGCGAATACAGATTTCAGAAGTGAGCTCACACAGAAACAAACAAATACAAACATAAACGACACATACCGCGGTCAGCCAAGTCCTCCGAGCTGGGAGTCCCTCAATGGGCTTTGAGGATCCCGGGCGAGACCCCAAATGTTATGCCCAGATTCCAAGATCCCCAAAGAATTCCACACTGGGAGCCAGTTTCGATGCAACAGCAAAAGGACCTTTTATTTTAGGACTAGCTAGACCGACCTCCGTTCCCGGCCGGCCCGGCCCTGCTCCCGGCCGGCCCGGCGACAGGAAGAGAGAGTGCCCTCCCATGGGAAAATCCGGCTTAAATAGGGGGGTGACGCAAGGGGATTGTGGGCCCTGCCGATTGGCCAGGCGTGAGCCGGGTCTTGTTACACAGGATGTGGTCATATCTATGGCGCGCACTTCCCTTGATTGTCATTGGTTAGTTTAAAATCCCGGGCGCGGCCAGCAGAGGCCTGGGCTTCCGGGAAGAAGGCTACACGTGGCCCCAACATGGAGGAGATGGCGGAGAGCGCATAGCCCTCACCCTTTCAGAGATAGTATAGAATTTGATTATACTGGTATATTCTTAGATAAAATTCTGGACATTTTAATAGATAATGTTCAAATTTTGTTATATTGAAAGATTATCATTTAAAAATGTTTCTATAAAAGCAAGTCTTGGCAAATGAACCATCCACTTCCCCTTATACTCAATACCATTAGGATTATAATCTTTTTTTTTAAGTTGTGGCTACCTGATATAATAACATTTATAAATTTTTTAATTTGCTTGTATTTGTTTTATTGATGAGTAGAATATTTTTATGTTCCTTGACCAAATATATGTCTTTGTTCTTATGAGGTTCATGATAGTATATTCATTTTCCTATTGTGTTTGGAGCCACACTGCTTTAGTTCAAATTTTGGCTCCACCACTTAATAAGAATGGGACCTTAGACATGTTTTGCAAATCTTTGTGCCTAAGTTTTTAAATATTTAAAATGGAGAGAATAATAGTCTAAGATCATTGTAAGGATTGATTGAGTTAATACTGCAGACCATTAGAACAATGCCTTGGCATAGTAAGCTATATAAATTGCACTCTCTCATCAATATAAGACTTCTTCTACTTATTCTTCAGAAACTCGGAAATTAAACTGAAATGCATTGTTTTCCTCTGGGCAGGATGCAAAGGTGATTTCCCAGGTTCTTGTCCAGGTGGATTGGAAGAATGAAGCCATGGACAAAAGGTGGTATAGGAAAAGGTGGACATTTATTGGCAAACAAGCACAGACTCCCACATGGGGAGGGGGAGAGAGACCCACCAAGTCCCTCTTTCCAAGGTTTATAAAGGCTGCAGTTCTTTGTGTCCTGTTATCCCCTCTGATTGGTCACTAAGCAGCTTTGGAGCTCAAACCCCATGTGAG